CACAGACACACAGACAGACACAGACACACAGACAGACAGACAGACGCACACACGCACGCACACAGACACACACAGACACACAGACAGACACAGACACCGCACACAGACACACACACAGACACAGACACACAGACAGACACGCACACGCACACACAGACACACAGACAGACAGACAGACAGACAGACAGACAGACAGACACACACACAGACAGACAGACAGACAGACAGACAGACAGACAGACACACACACAGATACACACAGACACACAGAAGCCATGCATGACATTCAGAAAAAACATCACAGAATATTGCAATAAAGGTAAAATAAAAAAAATTTAAGCATAAACAAATAAATGTATGCTTACATTTTATTTTACTTTTATTTACTGCAACTCTAATATTTATGATGACATTTTTAGAAAACAATGAAATGTTGCAATAAAAACATAAAAGATTTGTGCTTGAGAGGAAGCAGCAAATAAATTATGACATTTATAAAACTTTTAAAATGTTGCAATAATGTAGGCAAAAACAAATACAGAAAGATTACTTTTTTAATGTAAAAATAAAATAAAACAGTAAAACAGTGTCTCCAAAGAATGAAAGTGTTTAACATTATATAAATGAAACAAATAGATATAAGATGACATTTTTAAATACATCATAGAATGTTGCAATGTATTTTTTTTTTCATGCAAAACTGGAAAGAAAAGCTGTAGAAGTGTCTCCAAAAGTGTGAATTTAACTTCAAATAAATAAATGAATATATGATGAAATAAAAAAAAACATGTTGATGAAATGTAAGAATTAATAAATTAATTAATAATTACATTTAATTACTGCCACATTAATATAGAGCATATGATGAAATCTTTATATGTGAGCCTGGAGCACAAAAGCAGTCTTAAGTCGCTGGGGTATATTTGTAGCAATAGCCAACAATACATTGTATGGGTCAAAATTATACATTTCTCTTTTATGCCAAAAATCATTAGGATATTAAGTAAAGATCATGTTCAATGAAGATATTTTGTAAATCTCCTACTGTAAATATATCAAAACTTAACTTTTGATTAGTAATATGCAT